AATTCAACTTATTTGCAACAAACCCAGTGAATAATTCTTCTGATTGACCATTGCATTCAGATAAGTGTGTGATTGTTTATAACAATCCTGACTCTGTGTGCACAGATTTAAACTTGATGCCACTTTTTTTCACATAACTATAATAGATTAAATTAATGCACAAGGGAATTATTTTGTTTATTTGGGTGATATTTTTCCATAGACTCACAAGTGAGAATTTAAACTATACCTAAAAACAGATGTCTTCATAAATTGGATCATTTGTGAAACATATTAAACATGGCCAAGGAATTATGGGAGCAAAAAGTGTCCATCACTTGGTCCTATGATGAGTTCAGGTTAGAAAAACTCTTCAATATGGTGGCTGTTGTTCTGAATTCAGAAGTGGATTTATCTTGTAAGAAATGCAGTAATACTAATAATTCTACATAAATACTTCTGACTTAACCAAAATATTCAGTAAGAAAAAAATATAGGATGGGCACATTATTGCCCACTTACTTTTTCAGCTAAACTGATTTAATTCATTAAAATGACTTTGGTTTAATAGCCCAGGTCCACTTTGTGTGTACTGTAAGTCTGTTATTAGCATTTATATGGCAGTCAAATCCTTAAATAGATGGCCTTAGTTTACTTATTTTATTTAGCTATTTCCTTTTTTTTTATTTGTTTATTTTTTGTTTTTAAATTGCTTATGAAAAGTGTATACTGTGGGTGTTGAAATCGTAAGGGTGTAGCTGAAGTGCAGTGTTTGTTCTTCCACTTGACATGGAAAGAAACTCATTTGTTACTTTCTTCATGCATGAATCAAGTTTGCCAACTTGCCTAAGCCACCCTTCAGGTACAAGAGCTGATTTGAAAACCCTCTTTACGCAATAATAATAGAGCCTTTAAACTGAACATAGTTCATAAAACTGCTTTAGAAGGTTGGATAAGATCCAGACGGCACATCATTTTAAAGTCAAGCACACTGCGTGCGTACGGCCCTGTATAAATACAGAGAAAAGCCATAAACCAAAGGCTATACCCTGCACACTGTGGAGCTGTGCACACACATACATTTGTAACACACCCATAACTAAATATTGAACTGGACAGTCATGCAGACAAGTCAAACATCATGGTGCCAACACTCAAACAACCACCAATCACAATTTACAAAAGTGTGACATGTTTTTATTAAAACATAAAAAGCTTTACCTACAATAAACATATCGCATACCAAATCACAAAAAAAGATCTAACACTCATCCATTTTATTCTTCAAGGTATGTAGTAAATACAAAAATGAGGCATTTATGGCATTAAATTCACATTTAAGTGAAAATATAAAACCAAAAGTAGAACTAGTAGAACTAAAATGTGCTTGAAAAGCTAGAAACATTCCATTTCAATCGTATTATTCCTCCAGTGAGGTCTTAAAACTGACCTAAAGTTGCTTCACCGTCAAACTGCAGATGGAAACTTGTTTGTGACACTGTGGCTTCTTCTTAAATGTCAAGCGGCAATGAGTTTATGTTTTGATACGGCCTGATAAAAAGTGTTTGTCATTTTGTGACACCATATGTGCTTTCTTTCTTTAAAAAGATGTCTGGAACAAGTCTGCACAAACATTCAATTTAAAGGCTCTGAATGGCTTACTATGGTGTCATTGAGTTTGACTTTTATTGTGACAAAGAAGATCAACATTGATCAGTTCATTCAGTGCAAGATGTGCATCTCTCTGAAAAGCGACAAGGAGATATTGTGCAGACGTGGCGTCCAGATTTACAGAGGCAAAGTGTTTAAAGTACAATGACAGCGAAGGCCTTCTATGGCTGTGAATGAGCACAACGCATGAGACATCCATTGAATATAATCACAGACATGGCATAGGCGAGAAACAAACATAAGGAGATGATTGGTTAGATATGTTAAGCACTCTTAAGTGTCTGTTAAGTGTTAAATGTATTATTTGTACATCTTTATTTGTAAAAATGGTTTAAAACTGCCCTATTATTTATATTTACCCTGTATGTATCTGTATTTATACAGATCTGAAGCAACTAGTGAATTTAATGTTGCTTTGGCACTAAAGCCAAACTTTAGCTGACAAAAAAAAAAAAAAAAAGATTTGTAACAGCAGCTTTCCATTCAGTGTTAAGAGATTTCTACTTTTGTTGTAAATGGAACCTGCCAATAATTTAATGTATTGCTCAAGTTATATAATCTCCATATTTGTAATGTTGTGTGTACTTTATACAACATAGGTTTCAAGTAAGATAAGAACTGTTGGGTTGTGCGTCTGTGTGGTTTATGTTGTAGAACAAAACATTCAAGTATAGTCAAGTTGTGTCTACCACAGACCTTATTTTGGTTGCAAAGCCCCAAATGAAAAAAAAAAACAGGGAAGCCATGGTGTATTATTATTCCAGGCTTTGTCATCACTCTGTGATATTTATTAGTAATGTTAGTAACTAATAAAGTTATGGTAACTAATAACAATAATGCAATAATGTGCGCCTTTTTAAAAACTGCTTTTAAACAATAATCATTGTGAAAAGCGCTATAAATTAACTTGAATTGAACTGAATTGAATATGATATTTTTTCTTAAATTAGGATTGCTCTTTCAACTAATGCAGCAAAATATATTGATGCTGTCAGTTATGTTGACAGTTGACCAGGCAGCAGTTTCAGAAATGTGTATTTGGTCTTAAGTATTTTTGGTGTAATTTTAACCATAACAAAGTGAATATCATTTGTTTTTTTTTAAAGCCTTTTAATGTGTAAATGTTTAACGCTTAAAGCATTCATAATTGCTGGTTAAACAATGATTTATTGCATTTAATTTATTGCGATAAATACATTTTATAAAAGGTTATTTTTATAAATTGTCAAAAAAAAACAACTTTTGCTTCTTGTTCAAACTACTTGTTAATAATAAGTTGAAACAACACAATTCTTTTTTGCAGGCAAAAAACTATTTTAAACATTATGAAAAATAATTGGGACAACATGAAATAATTTTTTTACAGTGAAAAACATAAAGCACTGTTAATTTGATGTATATCTATTGTATTAATTGATGTTTGAATTTTGTTTATGATTTATTTTACAATATCCTTGCTACATTTAACTATATAAGTAAGTAATATTAATATTAATTACAAATACTTTCTATATGGTTATGTTAGAATTAGGGTTAGTTGCATGTAATTATGTATAATGTTATTACTAGAGTAAGTGCCGAGCACATATGTAATATAAACTTTAAAATAAAGTGTTAATAAAGTGTAAAATCGAAAAATGTTTTATACAGATCCACTCCTGAAATAGTCTTCATACAGAAATCTGTCGCCGAAAAACAAAATATCGCAATGTCTGTTTTCCTCCAATTCTGATATTTTTCCAAAGCAGCCCAACTCCTGATTTTATAGCAATGCGGCCACTGATTTACTGTATAAATCTACTGTACACTGTAAAAAAATCTGTAAAATAACAGTTAAATGACTGTATTTTTTAACAGATTTTTTCCGTATACACGTATTACGGGTGTTTTTCCGTTTATATACATTTTCGAATTGCATTGTGGGAAGGGGATCGCAGCTCAGACAGCGTTTGATGGACACCGGGACATATTTCTTCCTCTGTTTTTTCCCTGTAAGTACGATTAATAAAACATATAACAATATTTTAGTTAAAATACTGCTTTATTACCTTTTTATCGTTATTTAAAATGATTTTTGTCTTGTATGAAGCGCCCATGGAAAGTACAGCAGTGAATTACGTTTAATATTGTTAAAAAGTTCACTTTATTTCAATTAGATCAAACTGAGCTATAAGTGGTTAAATGTAATTTAAACAAGCATTTACCTAATGATTTTTTACCTTTTTATGCGTTTTCCTCATCAGTAAATATGATATCTGTTCATTTACAGTTGTTTGTCCGTATTTTTCTAAACTGCCGTGCGCGGGAAATGACGTAACGTCCCAATCACCCACTCTCACTCCCTCTGCACCTGCGTGAGTCTGACTGGATTAACGGTAAACGTCAGCTTGTCTGTGAGAGTGTAAAAGGTATGTTAATTATTTAATAGAAATATAAATGTTTTCTTTGTACAGTGCATTGAACAAGAACCCAACAAACACACAACGTTGCCTCAACGTAGCGACCTTCCTACAACGTTGTACCAACCTTGCAAAAAGGTTGAGGATTCTACGTTGTTGCTAAACGTTGTCACAACGATGTCATAAGGTTGCCATTTAAACATCACGAGGGCCGCATACTTTAGGTTGTGCTTAGGTGGCGTGGACAACCACTGTACAACATTTACTGGTCACAGCTGAATACGTTTAAATTTCAACAAGCCGTCGTCTCATTCATCAACGACCGAGGAGACGTGAGTATTGCTTTATTTCTTCTTGCTAAATAAGATACGTAAATCGTGAATATTCAAACAAACCTACGATTTCGACAACAATCTGTTCCAACATTACACACACACAAAAGCCGTAATGAAGTTGTTACGAGCGAGTAACATTTCAGCATTCCGTTCACGGACGGCGACAACATTAAAATCATTATGTTAAATCTCTCGATAAAACATTTCCTGATTATTTACCTACGCCTAGTCTTTAGTCAAATGGAAAATAATGCTTTTAAAGTTCAGTTTTTTCCATATCCATCGTGATCAGTCAGTATGATACTTCCTCACTCGAGCCGACCCACTATTTACAAAACACACAAAATAACTTTTAAATACAAAACACCTCTGTGCAGATTGCGTCCCGTTAAAGGGACAGTTCACTCAAAAATGATTTGTACTTACAAATTATTTGCCCTGTAAATAATAAGTGATTCCAAACCTTTAAGTTTCTTTATTCTATTGAACACTAAAGACTGTAAGCATTTGCTTTCATAGTAAGAAAACACTAATTAAATAGTTACAGTTTTCCAGCTTTATTTAATACATCTTCTTTATTGTTTAGCAGAAAAAAAGCTAAATAAGTTTGGAACAAATAAAGCATGAGGCTAAAATGGCAGAATTGTCAGTTTTGGTTGAGCTATCTCTATAAGTTAAAGTATATAAGTTGATGTTCATATGCCTAATTAATATAGATATCAATAAAAAGGTCTGCTAGTCTAAATTTCTATTTTGATTGATCTTTTGATGTTTTATTTAAAACCCACTCTTTTATTTGCTCAGCAGGCTATTTTCACATGGAGGTAATCTTCTATTGATAATTTCTGGATTTTAATTATGTGTAAGTTGCATAAAACTCTATTGTTTAACCACTCACTCACTGTTGTTTGCAAATTACTCGTGTAACTTGTCTTTCAGAATGTTTTCAGCTGTTGAATTCACCTCAGATCAGTGTTGCTGTAATTCCCGATCTATGGAAAGAATAATTGGATGAGGTAAGAAGTATACTACTCTATTTACTATCATAATAAATGTAGTATTGTTACCTAAAACAGCATGTTCATAATGTGGAAAATAGATCATGCTTATGAAAAATTACTTTATTATTTTGTACAGCTATTATTGAAATGACACTAAGTTTAACATTCCATTTACAGCGAGCAACGCCACAACTACAGGGCCTGTTCTTTCTCTTCTCATCATTTAAGTAAGTATTGGGAGACTAACTCTGACTTCTGTTAACTCAAACCTGTTTTCCCTGTATCTCTAAATTTATTTAATTGTATGTAATTTTGGTATATGATATATTATTAAAGCATTAAAATAAAGTAGGCTACATAATTACTCACTGGAGATTTTATATGTAATGAAATTACAATAAATGTCTGAAATTTCAATAACTTGCTAGTCATATTCGTTTCCATCTGTCCTCTCTTGTTCACTGCCTATTTTGACTTGTCTGCTGTGGATCTCTGAAGCTGGATTATCTGTTGAATTTGTTTCTTCCTCTGACTGCTTTCTCCATACCAACAACTATGCCTGGTCTTCAGCTGCGCTCCCTGGTCTGCTGTATTCTCCAGTCCAGAGCTTCACTGCCCAGTGTCTGAATTTTAATTTATATATATATATATATATATATATATATATATATATATATATATATATATATATATATATATATATATATACACACACACACATTTTAATGATTTCTTGTTTACTTTTCTTGTTTGTTTACCCTTTAGTTTAATTATATATATATATATATATATATATATATATATATATATATATATAAACTTTATACTGTTTGTTTATAATTAGGTTTGTACTGTATTTATTAAATGTTGTGAAATATATAATAAAAAGTTTGATTATATTCATTTGTGTGTTATTTTTACACTTTAAAGTTTACACATGCAGTTGTTAAATTAAATAGGAAAAATAATTGAACAATATTTCATATTAAGCAATACTGGAAAAGAATTGCTGCTTATCCTGTATTCTAGGCAGTAATGATAAACTGCCACAAAAAATATTAATACAAGTAGTAAGAACGCCGCCTCGCGGTTGCTGAATGTCGCACGACAACGTTGCTACAGCCTTCTCACGTCTTACATTTCTACGTTGTGACAATGTAGCGAGCACGTAAGCGGCAACGTTGCCTTTGAAAAAATGCAACGTTGTGCAGACATCGCTACAACGTAAATGTGTTTGTTGGGAAGTAGTGTAGTTTGGTTGATATAAGTTACGTTACCTTTAATGAACACTAACGTTAACGTGTTTCAAACGCTCGTAACACCTGACCGTCTGTGTTTGTTTGCATATTAATAACTAATTTCATATTTTTACTGACGTTATCAAATGTTAGCTTTAGTTTGACCGACGTATTAAGGCTGTGTGACCGAGTTTCAGTGGAACGGCTTTGCTGGTTTTAAGTAAGTTAACGTTATAAGTTAGACTCGCGTGAATTGGAGGCATTTGTAACTCGGTATGAGGGGAAATACACACTCGTAAAGTTATTATTAATGGTGGGCCGTTATCAGCATTAACGTGCTGCGTTAACGCGAGACTTATCGCGCGATAAAAAAATATATATATATATATATATATCGCCGTTAATCTATTCTCAACGTTGGGTTGGGAGCTGGGTGACTTTCATACTTTGATATTTTAGCGCGGATGTATACCTGACCGGTGAGCCGTCTGACAAACAAGTGCCCTTCTGAATCAAATCAGCAGGATGCCTGACTTTAACTGCAGTTCGGCAGTTTCACTTTAACTCATGAACATTTTATTCATCCCGCGTGACAAACTGGGGTAATAGACGCAAATAAGAAGCAAGAACTGAAGAGAGTGTTATGGAATTTAATAACGCTCCCCAAATGGAACGAAAAAAACTTCCGCATTTCGCGACGTGTGTTTGTGTGTACAGAGATAACAGAGTGATACAGTTAGTGTGTGACATTTAAAAGTATTTATAGTGTTTACACTGTCATGCGTTTTCGGCCTCAAATACAACGTGTACCTTAAAGCACACAATTAAATGTTTGTTGTAGTCGAGTTGAACTGTCATTGATATTTATTTATTCACTTTTAAGGACCTCAAGGGCAGCTAATATGAAGATATAAAGATGAGTTGTTCTTCCACAGTCTTAAAATTCTTCAAACTAATTGTCAGTTCGATTCATTATAGCAAATAATACTTTCTTTACTATTAGGAGATCAGGAGTTTTATTTGAATGAAACCTTGATAATAGAGTGAACTACACATGGTGTTATCGCAAATGAAATCTTTTTATGTAGATTTTGAGTCTGAGTTTTTTGCACATATAAGGTTCACTGATATTTTGCTTTGTTGACTTTCAGGTTCTTTAATTTTGGTTATAAGTACATGTTACAGGTAAATTCTTAGATTCAATCCAAACTGAATTTGAATTAATATGGACAAATGAAATAAAATACACCTGGGATTTTAAATGTTTTCATTTTTTTTATTATTCACAACGTTTGTGAAGTCTAAATGTAGACTGTCTCAAACTGAATGAGTGTTATTTTTGTTGTAGGTGTGTTGGTGTAAAAATTGATGCTGACTGGTTAGTACTGCATTTAACCACAACAATAATGATTTATATTTAGCATTGCATCTATTGTCATTTTACCAAGAATGTGTTTGCTCTTTCAGAACTCAGGCAGTTGTGCTGGACCTTCTGTACTTTATACAGGAGATGACAGTAAACTTTCAAGTTTAAGAGGTAAAATGTTCAGGGTTTTTCTGTTTGATTTTGAGTGTTTTGTAGATATAAGGTTCACTGATATATGATATAAGATTTGCTTTATGTTTATGTTGTAATTTTGGTTATAAGTACAAGGTACAGGTACATTTTCACAGCAATCTAAATAAAAATATTAAATCTTACGTTCAATCCAAACTAAATTTGAATTGATATAGACAAATGAAATAAAATACAGCTGGGGTTTTAAATGTTTTCATTTTTTTTTATTATTCACAAAGTTTGTAAAGTATAAAAGTAGACTACGTTGCATGTTTCAAACTGAATGAGTGTTATTTTTGTTGTAGGTGTGTTGGTGTAAAAATTGATGCTGACTGGTCAGTACTGGATTTTTATAAATAATACAATAAATAAAAAATGATTTATATTTAGAATTGCATCTATTATCATTTTACCAAGAATGTCTTTGCTCTTTCAGAACTCAGGCAGTTGTGCTGGACCATCTGTACTTAATACAGGGGATGACAGTAAACTTCCAAGTTTAAGAGGTAAAATGGTCAGGGTTTTTGTTTGATATTGATGCTTTTATTTTTATTATTTGGCAAAACCAATTACTTGAACCTATATTTTTACTAAGTGTTTACATGAACACATTTTGCTTCAGTAATTTTGAATTTTGTTAACATGTATTCAAACTAAAAAGTACTGGGTTGATGTGGGTGTTTTATCTGGGTATTTTAAGCTGCTACTGTAATCTGTTAAATGAACCAAGCCGTTATTTATTATTATTATTTATTTTTGCATCATTTGAAATGTTACAAGTTCTTTATTTTGGTAATGTCTGTTTAAAGTGATAAGGAAATAACTGGTCCACTGCTGAATTTCTTTTCTTTTCTCTCTTAGCCACCTGATGATGAGAGAGACAATTTCAATGTGGGCATCTTGATGGTGAGCCAGGCCTTCATGCTGATTTTGTAATAACATTATTTCAGGATGCAAAACTGGCTAAAAATCAAATTTAAATTTCACCACTAATTGTATGATAGTGTGGTTGATTTAACATTTTATTTAATGTTGAGTTCATTGTAAAAAAAATGATTTAATTTTGGTTGAATAAATGCTGATTTTGGGACAGTTTTGTCTACTTATCATCATAGAATTAACATTTTTTCAGGGTGGAAAACTGCCTAAAAATCAGTGGTGATTTTTTATTCAATGTTAATTTAACGTAGGTTTGCTCTCTGGGTAAGAACTAACTTAAAAAATGCGAAAAACTTATGTATGTGCCACTTGTCTTTTGTATCACATGTTATTGGCATGTTATGGAATTTAACTATGGCAAATAAGTAAGAGGAGATGGAAAGCTATGATGTCTACACGTTTTCCTGAAACATTTTCAAGGTCAATTCTTTCTTATATAAAGATAGTGGAAAAGAAAGAAATGTAAAACAAAATGGTTTGTCATTTTTTTTCTTTCCTTTATTGTTTTTTTTTTTTTTGCCTTATTTTTGTTCTTGCACTATAATTATTTCTTATAATATTTGATTAAGTAAATATATATATTTTAATTTCTTTTAAATTATGTAGCAGACATGTATTTAAATAATTTTACATAATAATTATAATATTTATAATATTATTAATAATATTAATAATTTAACATATAGGTGTGCATATATGTACCCATATCTGTACATGTAATATAGGAAAACAGCCAATTTTATGTTTGTCTCATATTTCAAAAACCTATATTAAACCATATGTTTATATAGGTTCTTTCCATGTGGACGTGTACCAGACCCAACACACAACTCACTTTTCTTTTCTTTTTTTCAGAAGAAGAGTCCACAGTCACAATAACAAGATCATTGGGCTGTCCCCTAATTGTGGTGAGCTACATGTTTAGTCTCTTATGTGCTAAACATTATGTAGCCTAAGGAAGCAGCCCTGACTCTGGAGTTTATATGAAGGTATGTTTTTACATTTTTAAGTTTATTTCATTTTTATAAGACAAGTAAGTTGCTACATGTTTGTTGTATTTACAACAGGAGCATGCTGAGTAACTATCCAGAATGTAGGTCCAAAGCAGAAAAAAGAGCACCAAGCAGAAATATACCATCTAAACTCCTTCGATTCCTGTCAGACCAGAAAGACTTTCAGAATCCTTGGAAGATTTAAAGGTAATTAAGCACACTGGTAATACTTTATAATAACTAAACACTATTGATTAATTTATTAAGCATTAGCAAAAAGTTCTGTTAAGCTTTAACTCTTCATTAACAGACCTTAGTATACAGTTTATAACTACAGCTGCAAATGCTGTAATCTTGACTTATAAGCACATCTATAATGTGCTTAATGATTTTGTTTTTATATTTTGTTAATGATTAATTTTTCATTACTAAATTTAGTATAGCATTATTTACAAACCAGTGATTTAAGAATAGTTGGTGTATTTTTTTTTTTCAAATCATTCAGAATGTGTAAGTAAATGGTTAATAAACTATTCAAACTAACATTTATATATCTTATTATTCAGGCATATAGTGATAGTTGGGCAGCACAGTGGCTCAGTGGCTAGCACTGTTGCCTCACAGCAAGAAGAGCTCCGGGTGCTCCGGTTTCCCCCACAGTCCAAAGACATAAGCTATAGGGAAATTGATTAACTAAATTGGCTATTATGTATGAGTGTGTTTGTAAATATGTGTGTATAGGTGTTTCCAAGGGCGTACTCATGCTATGCACAGTTGCCTTGAAACTGGAAGCGTGCTTGTCTCCCCCGACGACCCGCACTCACATTGCATTCGAGCCTGAGCATGCTTACATCATCAATAATGCACTGTTCAGTTTAACAAGTGCTCTCACTCAGCACAGTGGAAATTTCTTTATATTGTTATATCGTTTTAGTTGTTCAATATGCAGTGACACGCAGTCAAATATTTCGCCGAACAGATCAGCCACTTTTGACGCTCATAAACAATCAAAGTCAACGTGCTGCAGGTACTAGGAGGTTTGCTAAAGGTGCAGCTGTTGTGCAGTGAGGGGTTTGTGTCTTTAATCTATGACAGTTTGCAAGGGACTTTGATTTAGATAAATTAACCACTATTACTGTTCAATGAACGCAAACCCCTTACTGCACCACAGCTGTGCCTTTAGCAAACCTCCTATTCCTGCAGCACAAGGAATTTATGATTGTTTATTAACATCAAAAGTGGCTGATCTGTTCGGCGAAATATTTGACTGTGTTACTGCATCCCAAACGACTAAAACAATATAACTAAAGAATTCTCCGTGCTGAGAGCACTTCCTAAACTAAACAGCGCATCATCGATGATGTAAGAGTGCTCAGGCTCGAATGCAATGTGAGTGCGGGACGTCAGGGGAGACGGGAGGGAGGACAAGAGTGCTTCAGCCTGGTTCAAGGCAACTATACATAGTGTGAGTACACACTAAGCTGAAGGAAAATACATGAATAAATAGTAATTGTAATACTTGTATATAAAGTATAAAAAATAAGTATATAAAGTATATACAATACTTATTTTAATAAGTGCTTTTGTTAACTTCATCCAGTTTTGTAGCCTAAAGTGAGGATTGTTTATGCTCTGTAAATCCCCTTATAAATCACAATTAAAGATTCAGTTATATTCTAAAAATAAAATTCATTTTATTGTATTAAATGAAAAATAAATCTTATCTAAAATAAAATTACTGTACAGTTTAAACATAGCTAAATAACACTGAAATGTTGCATCGTAATATATCATTAAATTATTTTATTGTTGTTTTATCCAGTTTTATGTTATATTTTGGCACTCCTGCTATTCAGCAAGGTTTCATATTAACAGTAATTACATTTTTTTAGATAAGACTGTAATGATTTATTGTTCATTTGATACTGAGCCTTTAACTGTCGTTTATAAGGATTTATAAATCATAAATAATCCTCACTTTAGATTAGGCCACAACTGGAAGAAGTTTTGTAAATAATGCAATATTAAATATATATATATATATATATATATTAGGGATGGGAAGATTAACCGATATGTATCGATACGCGGTCATGCGCGTGCACGATGCGAGTGCATCGGTTGAGCAGCAGAGGATGAATGAAATTTTGGAAGCAAATCGAGATGCATCGGTTTTTGCGAGATGCATCGATTTTTCCTAGATACAGCTTATATTTTTAATATAGAATGTATTTTTTATTTATTAACAAGTGTTGTCAACCTGTTTTTGGCGCATAATTTAATCGACCTACATAAAGTAAGCCTTAGCAACGGATTTGCGGATGTGTACACACACTACAACTCAATGTATCAGGTGTGCGGATGAAGCTAGTGGAGCGCCCTCAGAAAGCGCGAGAAGCAAAACAAACATTTTATTCCCCACTGAGTTTTAAATCTAAAGTATGGCAAGCAACATTATCGATTTAAGGATGGACGACATGACGGGACAGATGCAATTTGCAAAATGTGCCGCGCATCTGTAAAATACGCGGGCAGTACGACTACTGATATCTCACTTGAAGCAGCGCCACGGTGTTGTTGTGAAAGCATCTTCCAGTGTTTCTGCATCGCCGGCTTTCGCACTGCTTCAACCAGCTCCAAAAGTGGTGAGAAAAGCATTGCAAGTTTTTTTTCCATGCGCAACAGTTCTGCTCGCTCTACGCCAATAACGAATGCTATTGCATTGTTCATCTGCAAAGATATTCAGCCTAGTGTCACGGAGAACGAAGGTTTTAAACACCTCCTCCTGTTAATTTTTATTTAATTATAATAATAATAATATTAATAATAATAATGATAAAAATAATGGGTGTCACGGTGGCACAGTGGGTAGTTTGACCACCTCACAGCAAGAAGATTGCTGGTTTGTTATATTTTTATTAGCCTGTTGTTTACAGTGACAGTGATGTTTCAAAGCAGCATAACACTGCTAGTTCACGACCTTAAGTTTTGAATAATCAGTGGCAAAATATATCTTTGTAAAACTTGTTTTCATAGTTGAAAAGTTAAATCACAATTCTTGTTGTGCAATGCTAAATTTATTTATGTTGAAAGAGTGCAAATATATACATATTTTTTTAATATATATATTGCACTTATACATTCTGTTTATCTTGAAAATACTTAAATAATATGTGCTATATGTTCTAAAATGGCCCTCTACTGTAAACTGACACTCTGGCTCTGAGAGAAAAGCCAGTTTGTAAAAAAAAGTCTTGGTTTTGCTTGGTTTATAAATAATCAAACTCATTCAATGGCACAGCATCCTCTTTCACATCATCTCATAAACTTGATCTAATTAGTTAGTGCTGAAATATCGCATCGTATCGTGATATGGGTGTGAATCGTATCGTGTTGCATCGCAATATGTCACAAATGTATCGCTAATATATCGGATCGTATTCTTTGTATCGAGATGCGTATCGGATCGGCATTATAGCTTAGATGCCCAACCCTAATATATATATATATATATATATATATATATATATATATATATATATATATATATATATATATATATATATATATATATATATATAATGTAAAATCAATCATTAAAGTTTGATAACACAATTATTAAACTGTAGCTGTAGCAAATTTTGTGCCTGTATTTATAACCGACTGCTAACATCTATTAATGTAGAGTTAATGCTTAACAGATAATGAGTTCACTATTTGCTAATGCTTCATAAATGAATCATAGCCTGTAGTTATTATAGTGTTACCAGCATAGTTTGTTTATATTACTGTTTCTCTCTTGCAGTATTGTTCCGAATATTGTCAAAAGTACCTACACTTTATTTTAAAAAATCTTAAAGTGATTTCTCACCCAAAACTGAATAATTGATCATTCATAACTTACCTACTCTCTTGACATTTTAAACCTGTATGACTTTGTTTCCTCTGCAAAACACAAAATACCATACTTTAAAGAATGTTGCTCCTATTTTGTTCTGTGGAAGTATGTCAGTCAGACAGGCTTGAAATGACAAGAGTGAGACAAGAAGATGATGATAAAACTTCCATTTGTGTAAACTGTTGACATGCAAGGAATCACCCCAGTTGTAAGTGAAATGTCATTAGTAATGTTTTTTTTTTTTTTTTTTTTTTTTTTTTACAGCCATTGAAGTATCAGTATTGGAGCGGAAGAAGACCCAGTTGTATCGTCTGTTTCCTGCCATCTTGCAGTTAACCTGGTTTCTTAATGTAAAGTACTTGTAATTTGCCCACTTGTCCCCAATTATCTTAAAGCTAACATTTAAAACTAATTTTAGATTATTTGCCTAGACTTCTCACTGTGTGATTCACATGTCAATATGTATTATTGTGTGTATAACTAGCTATTTGGAATTCAAATGATTTGTATTCATTAAAGAATCTGTTTTAATTGCAAAGTTGTTTTTGTACTAATCATTGTAAGTTCACAGTTAACAAACTATTTACTGCTTCTCTACACATACAGTATAGAATACATGTTTTGTTTTACTATGGTAAACCATTAATAGTGTATTTCCCATATGTATATGTTTATTCTTACCAACTGCTATTTCTATGCTGCTTGAAGAGCATTAAATTAGTAAAATAATAATTTTTTTTTACAGTAGGTATCCCATTAAAACAAAGAATCTGTTCATTTTTTCACTGTATATATACACTATTAAAAAACAAAAAAGTCCTCGTTTTACAGTCGGTATACTATTAAAACACAGAATCTGTCTGTTTTTTTTACAGTCGGTATACTATTAAAACACAGAATCTGTCTGTTTTTTTACAGTCGGTATACTATTAAAACACAGAATCTGTCTGTTTTTTTACAGTAGGTATACTATTAAAACACAAAATATTTCCGCTTTTTTACTGTTGGTATACCCTTAAAAACACAGAAAATAACCGTTTTTTTATATAGAAAACCCTTAAATTACTATAAAATGGTTCGTTATTTTACAGTAGTTAAACCGTCAAAAAACGGATATTTTTTAGTTTTTTTAATGTGGACACACTGTCAATAAACAGAAGTTTTCCGTTTTTAATTTACGGTAAAATATTTGTGTAATGAGCTGCCAGTACATTTTACCGTTTTTTTACGGAATTTTTTT